CCTTAAGCCAAAGAAGTAATCCCCCACCAGCCTGTCCATTCTCCTGCTCCCAAAATGGCTGAGAAGCTGGAATCAAGACATTGGTAACATATCTCTTTGCAGTTATAGTCCCCCAATTGTTCCAATCCCAAAGGACAAGCAGGATTTTATTGCCCTCAGAAATCCCACCCCAGGTCATAATAGAGTTCTTCTGGACGAATTTTGAGATGAGGCAGTGGTCATGAAACTCCTCCTCAGGGTATCAGGTGATCTAGGTATGGTTTAGAGTACCTAAGAGCCAGTCATATTACCTGTCAGTCCAGATTACCAGGCACCAGTCATTTAGCGTCTAGTCATGATGGGCTATAGCAATGTCCAATCATAGCTGGTGCTAGCTGGTGTCAAGGAGGGGTTACTGGCAGGCAACTGAGATGGCCATATCCTTCCTTGGTGAATGCCTTGCGAAGAGTTCTATCACAGGCCTCAATATTGCAGAGGGCTGCCACCTCTCTGAGAGGCATTCACCAATGTTCTGCACTCTTTGTATTACAGGCTACCAGGTGACCTCTGGTTAGAGTATCAAGTAGGACTGGCTGTCCCTTGTTTTTTTGGGGGAATAGCTGGAGCTTGACAAATATTATGCATAGTACTAACTGATAGGTTTTGATCCTCAGCTATTCTCTGATGTCAAGCCTGCAGCAAAGCACAGTGCCTGAACCTGTCAGCGTGTCTTGTATGAGGTGTGTTTGTATGGCATTGCGCTGTAAAAACAGTTAAATATCTGTGAGTAACTGGCTATGATCTTATTTCCTTAACTTACCTTTTTTCACTTTTTTTTTCTCCTTCAATTTTGAACTTGATTTCACAATATTCAAACAATTGACCTGGAAGATGTAGCACGATCCACAGGGAAAACCGCTATATTGGCAATATCTGTTAACCTATTTACCCCTTTTACCTTCCTTTCTTACTATCGTTTTAGGAAATGTTACACTATTTGCAAGGATCTGTCCCCTCTCCCGGACACCCCTACCACCCCCCCCCATATTACCCCCCTGTGTTCGGGTTCTTTATGCTTGTAACTTGTACAGGAATGATATTTGGGTGTCCAGCTTCAACCCGGCAGCGCAAGTACGACAACACTTCCTCACCAAGCGGCGATGGACTGCGGGACACTCTTGACATGTGTGCTGGGCATTTTTTCTGCAGTCGCAGATTTAACACTAATTCCTAATTCTTAACTGCGCTTTGGCTCCAATTGGCGAGAGAGAACTCGCTTAGCTCTGGGTCGTTTAAAAAAATATTGGTGAATGTTGTTTGTGAAATTCACCATTCACCATCGGGATACAAGGATCTTGACATACCGGAATTCAGATATGGTACAGCCTACTTTAAAAAAACAAAGAAGTCGGATAACTTGGGGTTAGAAACATGGAAACCGATTGAATGGCTCAAGTTACTCGACACTCCAACCCGAACTCCAGAATCTCATGTCTCATTTTCCGTGCTTTTACCGCAGGCTGCATTTATACTTGTACGTGTACCGGTACTCGTACATGGCAAGAGGTATAATGGGAGAATGGAGAAGAGGGGGTGGTTGTTTGTCAATGGGTTTCTAGTACGGTAGATTATTCGAAGCTTGTTCTCTTCCAATAATCGATTGCTGCCAGGGTGATTGAATGATTGACACTTGGGATCGAAAAGACGCACTGGGGAGTACTGGCCACGCGGAATTGTGTTTTCTCCTCGCCATACTTACCATACACCTTGGACGGTCGGTTTCGCTGTCAGCGAGGAACTGCGGCGTTATCTCCGGTGGTGGGGTGTTGCGCCGGGTGTTACTCGAGCGCCGTGGCAATACCGGGAGTGGAGGTTACGGGCCATTCCCAGTTTCCCATGCTGCATGTGGTGCTTCCGGGTGTTTGATTATGACGGTCTTGGACCACTGTGCCAGGGGGTTTCCTTCGTACTCATGATCTGGATTGTGTTCCGGTAAGGAAAGGTCCCGTATTTTTGTTCGGTTGTAACTTTACAGTGAACAGGATTAGAAATATTATATCATAGTACTTGCGCTGCCGTTATCAGGCTCACACCAGAGCGATCAAGATGGAGCTGGGGAACCAAATCTAATCCGTGGAGCTGTTGAGAGAATCTGTATCGATGGGAGGCCCGGATTCAATCGGGTGCGGGTGGCCGGACACCCAGTAGTCAGGGGCTTGCCTAACTTTTGCTACCTTAGGACTCTTGAAATTCACTATGGTACGAGTATCATCATGATTACTCTCAGCGGAAATCTGCCCGTCACCCCCTGTTTCCGGGTATTTATGGCAGGGTTACGGGTACCCGGGTACTGGGAACGGAAGTGATTGGTGTGGAAATAACTCCAGCATGACAATGTGCTCTCTCTTAGATCCAACTTCACCCACCATCTAACCGTAAAAGGTTGAATAATTGACACTCGTGGATAGGGGGGCCGAAAAAACTGCGGAAACTGACCTCCTCAGCCCCCCCCCCCCTCAAGAGGGTGCTGGACCTCGCCAGCGAAAGAAACCCAAATACCTTAGCGCGAGCACCAACTTTTCGAGTTCTTGCAGAAATCCTTTGTAATATCATACCCCTCTCCATCATCTGGTTCCTCAAGACAGCAACTCCAGGTGTTTCTCCATATACCCACGACTCCATTAGCCGTCCCATCAGATGAGCTCCACAAGAGGAATATACTTTAACACAAGTACATGTTGCCAGAGCAATCGAGGTTGGAGTTGAGGATCCACATCGGTGGCCGAGAGAGTTATGGGTGGGCGGACACGGCTTCGCTTGAGATATACCCGGTTCGCACCGCCAGCACTACGGGACCAGTATCACGATTTTGTCGGCGAGTTAGTTGCTTATACGGGTAGGGATACCCCGACATGGGAGCTTACTCGTAATGTCGAAGCGTTTTGGGGAAGGAAAAGACTGCTATTGCAAACCACCAAAAATTGGGTCTTTTGCTTAGATCTGGGCGGTATGCAATAGCACTTCTCTTTAAAAACGCTTTGACACCACGAGCACACTGTCACGGTATGATACTAGCGCAGGAGCGGCGGCCTCGTTCTGTGGTCAGACGATTGGCTATACTGTACAGTATGATACTAGTACTCGAGTACTCGAGTAGTTGGGTTACTGACGCCGGGGTTATCATGGCTTAGGTTGGTTCTGGCTTGGGATAGCCGGGCAGTCGGTCTTAGTCCTAGGACAAGTATTACGAGATTTAACAGAGGAGGTTAGAATGGGTGCTTTGAGAGCGCAGTGGGATGGAAGTTGAAATCCGTCTGAATCCAGTTTACACTAGGGCAAGAACTCGAAAAATTGGGCCATGTGCTACCGGTGGGACGTTGGAGTTGCCCCTCCTAGTAAGGTCTGATGCCTTTTTATTTGAGTGCTTGAGGCATGAGCCGTTTCCATGGTCCCTACGAGTACGATACTCGTACTGTCCCTCCCGTTCCACAGCTTTATCTAAGGCTCTGCACAGTGCTTCTTGTATCCAGGCGGTAAGCTGTCGGGGTGTTCTGGTCTGTTCTACTCAAGTAAAATCTGGAACACTAGCCTATTTTGGTAATCCTGATAAGAAAAACCCTCTTGGTTGGCAAGAGTTGAAGTGCTCAAGGATACCGCAAAATCTATTGCTCCATTACTCCCAATTACCCAAATAGCCTAGTCTTCCAAATTCTAAAAAGCACCGGTCGACTACTCGAGTAATATGTCTAGACACCTTGTAGGATTTAGCGTGGCCCAACGCCAATTTTGAACTCCACCCACTTGGCAACGGTCTGTACTGTAGTCTACACCAAGCTGAGCTTCTGAGTGCGTTGCGTTTTGAGAGTTCTTCCATCCCACTCTGCTCGAGGACAATCTTCGAGTATATCCATCATGCCCGCCACCAGTCCTGATTCTCGGCAGCAAGTGCGAAGTCGTTCAGGTTCAAAGAAGGGGAGAGGTGGGGGTCTAATTGGTCACAATTTATCTAACGTTGAGCCACTGCCATGTTCCTACCACTCTTAATTCCCGATACGCTCCACTATGCCACAGAAAGGGAAGGGTGCGATCGACGGATAACTTACCGCGGTGGTCCTGTGTCGGCTTATCATACCTTTATTCTTGTTCTCAATATTGGAACGCCATGCAGCACACGTTCAATTCACCCAATCGCTTTTATTCATTGCTCTATCCGAGCTGTAAGGTCTGCAAGGTTTTTGGGACGGAAGTTGATAGTCTTGTGATACCGCTATACTTGAGTAGTGCGCTCAACCAAAGCCTGCACTCTGCCCAAAGAAGTTTATGAATAAAGCAAGGCATGCTGAATTATCAGGATTCGAGAGGTGGGAAAGAAAATACTCTTAAAAGAGGATTACTCTTTCAACGAAATCAAGGACTGGTTCTCGTTGCAGTGGGCTGTTCGACAAAGATGCGCAGCATCCTCCATTCCAACTCCAACTCCAACCACGGCAATGACTTGCTCCGTGACCTCAAGTGAAAACTAAAACCATATATTAGTTCATTTACTATTTAAACAATCGCACCAGAGGAAGGGTGCCATATTTGTTACTAGTTTATACCATAGTGTAGGATTTCCTGAGTACGCTGCGCCCATCGGAGATTCCGACCATTCTCTGGGCCGCTGCATCTGCAAGTTAGTATAAGTTTTTTATTTCCTTTTTTGGACCAAGTAAGGATCCTCCTTGCCATGAAGTATATTCGTAAATTAGGTTCTTGGGGAGCTCCCGTCTGTCCAGTATTGTATTCTCTGGGCATAGAAAAAAATGGACCTGGGCATGCGTCCTCACCCCGGTGACCTTGATGACCTTCATCGGCAATCCATCCCACCCCTACCCTTTACCTCCTACCCCCCCTTCTCAGCCTCTGACCGCAAAATTCAGCGAACCATCTTCTTGCCTTACTCTTCCATCAAGCTTCATTCTCAATCTTCACTGAATAGTTCGAAAAATATCGTTTCGAGTACGTTGATCAATCGATACACCATGGGTGTTGGGATCTATGAATCTGGACATGCCAGACATGTTCCTGGAACAGCTACGCTTTACGAAGACCAAGGTGCAGAAGAGGCTCCCAGTAGAACCAGTCATCTCAAACACGGGACTGGAAAAGATTCCCAGCTTCTACTTGTTCCTCAGCCATCAGACTCACCCAATGACCCTTTGGTTGGTTTCATTTAAAATTTCCCTTAAATTCTCTTTGCGACAGGTGGGTTTGGTCTGGTTGAGCTGACGTCTATAACAGAATTGGCCACTGTGGAAGAAAGATCTTACCCTCTTCGTCTTATGTCTTACCGCTGGCGTCGGTCGGTTTTCCCACTTGATCGATTTGAGAGCGAAACGGCTGCTGACTCGATTAAAGCTGCTGCTCTTGGCCCAGCCATTGCGCCGATCAACAAAATGTTGGTCGACGAATTCAAAACTACCTATCAAGTTACTGCAAGGTTTGCTGGTTGGCAGTTTTGGCCTGCTGGAATTGCTGGACTCTTTGGATCTGCAGTTGGGAGAGTTTGGGGTAAACGTCCGGTTTATATAGTTTCTACACTTCTCCTCTTCATTGGTGCGGTCTGGAATGCACTCGCGCAAAATACAGATAGCTTCTTGGGAGCAAGAATCCTACAGGTACTTGAACTTTTTTATTTTTTATTTTTTATTTTTTTTTCGTATGAGGAATCTGGGGGGTAAAGGTTTTTGCTTATCTTCAATTTAGGGATTTGGGCTGGGAGCATTTGAAACGATTGTTCCTTCCACTGTTGGGGACATGTACTTTGTAGGTTTTCAGGAGCTAGTGATGTATCACTTTAGATGACTAACAAGGTTAGGTTCACCAACGTGGAAAACGTATCGCTTTCTACAACCTTACTTTCTTAGGAAGCACCTATTTCATGCCGGTTTTGGGTGGATTCATATCCACAAGACATGGCTGGCGCACTCAATTCCAGATAATCAGTGCCTTCCTCGGGCCGGTTTTAATTCTAGTTATCCTCCTAGTCCCGGAACACGCTTATAATCGGCCTGCGATTTTCGATACCGATCTTCACTCTAGCAGTGATCTAAGTGAACTGGATGAGCAATTAGGGAAGAATGATGGTGCTAGGACCGAGGGAGTTGTAGGGGTGGGTGAAAATCCAGTAACTGGAAATGGTGCGGAAGAAGAGAGAACCACATTGCCGGAGGGAGTTGTATCTGCGACGGAGACACCTGCCACTTTAAACAATGAAGCAGCTATTGTAGCGGACTCAAGTGAAGAGAGGAAGACTTGGGTACAAGAGCTCAAGATTTACAATGGAAGGTTCTCAGATGAGAGCTTTTTCAAGTTGATATTCACGCCCTTTGCCTTGTTTTTGTACCCTGCTACGTTGTGGGCGTTCTCGTTTCAGGGAACCTTCATTACTTGGGTGTGTGCTTTATTTTATCGGCATTAGCCCTTCGAATTGGCTAATACTTGGGAACACAGGGAATCGCCGTATCCGTGGTTCTTGCCCAGATGTTTGCCGGGCCTCCTACCAACTTCGGTCCGGAAGAGCTCGGATACATGTACGCCGCGCCCTTCCTTGGGGCGCTCGGCGCATATATCTTTGGCGCTTTCGTCTCCGACTGGTCAGCCAAGTGGATGGCGCGTAAAAACAAGAACACCTACGAACCGGAGTTTAGAATCTTGCTTGTCGTTCCGGTTGCATTTTTCGGATTGCCTGGGCTATATGCGTATGGCCATGTCGCTGATTTACACCTGCATTGGATTGTTCCGTCTGTCCTCTACGGGTTCTTGACATTTGGGGTTGTTGTGAGTTGCACTGTGACCTTCTCTTATATTCTTGATGCGCATCGAGACATTGCGATAGAGATGATGGTTTCAATGCTGTTGCTAAAGAACTTTTTCGCCTTTGGGTGCACCTATTTCTTGGTTGATTGGGTGTATAGCGATGTAAGACCTTTTCCTGAGCTGTCAAGATCCTCTGCTAATTACGGTACCAAAATAGGGCCCTGCAAGAGTTTTCGACATCCTCGGAGCGATACAGACAGCCGTTTGCGTCTTATCCATCCCCATGTACATTTTCGGAAAGGCCCAGCGCGACTTCATGGGGAGGCATAACCTGCTTAAGAAGTGGGGATTGTATCCAAAGTCGGCAGCGAGTGCACTTCCTGTTGCCTAATCTTAGTTTACACCGCGATGTATGAGAGTTTCGGTGGGCTAGATGCGGGGGCATAAGTTTGTTTTGCAGGTTTTGGTGAAGCATAGATTTCTGTAAATAGAAAGGTCCGAAATTTTCGCCCTTGGATTGGATGCTTGTGAGGAATTGGGATTGCGGTTCTTGTATCTGTGACTGCTGTGCTAAATGTGCGCAGGGGTTGGAGTGGTTGGAGTTTCCTGTGCTGATGCTTGGGCTTCAAGTTATTTCCAACTTAGGGTGACCCTAATGTGGATGGTCTCAGTCATCCTGGGAGCTGTATGATATGTCAGAACGTAGCTAAGCCAGTATCATACTTGGACCGGTGGTTATTCCCATCGGCAACCTATCTGGCACGACAGCCCCCGCCACAAATTAACTGTAGGGCACACTAACCCGGGGAGCCATTGGGTAAAAAAGGCAAATCTTCCTACTAGCGGGATAAGTACTTGTTCCCATGGTAATATTTTGTGAAATACCTAGCTAGTGCAGTGGCTAATATGAAAAGAGCCAATTAACCCCTGTGTACTCAGCAGGAGCATTCCTGCTCAGAAATGAATTATTATTGAACGATCTATCACGTAGCGCAGGAGAATTAAAAAATCCTGCCCTACAGGAACTAAGAAATTGAGGTGGCAGTATCCGACTCCAGACCCATATCCTAAAGGAAGAGGTCCGCGATAGGCGGGGCAACAGGAAGAAAAAGACTAAGATCAAATTTTCTTCCCTTTCCCTATCCCGGGCACTATTTTCAATAGACACTGCTGCTCTCATTCACACCCCATGCAGACCAGCGGATCTGATCTCGATATGCGTTCACTCTATAGAAGGGCCGATAGAAGAGCTGGACCGACTCAACGCTCGCGTTGATTGTCTGGGGTGAATGAGCTCTAATCACGGCTTCTTCCCGCAGCAAGTATGGGTTCTCGTTTTCCCAGAGGAATAATACTTGCTAGCCCCATGTCAAAATACTGACTTAGAGACCTCTATTTAAACTTGAATTTTTAACTAAGCATAAAGCTATGTCCCGGAGCTCTGCGGCTAGTAAGGCCAGGATACCCACTAACGTTTATGGGTGGATGCGTAGGGTCAGTGCTAGGCAGCACAGATTATCACTCGTGTGAGGGTGTTTCCTCGTCCTGCTCGGAGTAACAGAGGTATTAATTATCATTGGGTGCTTTGGTCCCTGGTAGCCATGTTGGATCTTTCGCCCAGGAATCTACCTCCACGCCTGCCGATCCACCACCCCTGGCCTTGAGACCGGTCCGTTTTTATCGCTTGGCCCGGATATAGGTGTATGCGGGCCAGCACCCCCACTGAAGGGAATAACGCCCTTGTTCTCCACCATGTGTCCTCTGGTACGGCGGGTCAAGTAGACATCGAGTGCAAAAAAAAGCTTAAGCAAGTGGTAACAAGAAAGGAACACTAACACTAAGGCCGGGTAACAGTAAGTAGTAACAATGTCATGGAATAAAGACTTAGAAATTTAGAAAAAGGAGCTGTTACGAGACAAGATCCATATAATATGGGAAATTGTTTTGTCAATTAAGTTTAGTAATAAATTTATGTTATTCAATAACTAGTTTTTAGTAAAAACAATACAGAATATAATCAGGCAATTGATTAAGAACCAAGAAAACTAACTATATTCCCAGCCATCTGAGGCAGGAAAAAATGCAAAAACTTGATGGTACTATTGCTAAGCGAGGCTATAGCAATAGTGGGAGAGAAAAGAAAACCAAGATCATGAAATGTTGGAGGAAGTAAGGAGAGGATCTTAAGAGGGCAGACCTCAAGTGAGAAGGCAAGAGCAATATTTTAACATGAGAGGAGGATGGAAAGTAATAGCCTAGCCCATCACCTAAAAGCTCAGGAGGGATCAGACATGAAAAGTAGAAGAAAGGTCTTTGGTGTTAATATCTTTCAAAACAGAAAATAAATTTCAATCATAGTAAGGTATTCACAAGATACTAATCACATTATAGGGAGGGTACGATAGTTGACCAGTGGCATGCTCTACCAGAGAGGAGGCGAGAACTGCAAACTATGGGAAGCTTCAAAGGTGTATTGGGAAAACTAAAGAGTAACCATTCAAGCAAGTACTTTGAAATACTGTCAGTCGAAGTCTGCCTTTTTCTATCAGAGAATTAGGAGGTGTTAAATTGTTAGGTAGACTGGGATCCAATATCTAGGAACCACCCTAAGTAGGTTAACTCCTCTCGAAATTAGAATCTATAGTCTCCAACACTCCTCTCCAGCCTCCTTACCAGGCCCGCATGTCACTATACATATCAATCTCAGTTACATAGTTCAATTGCAATATCACGTGACTATTCACTGAAGGTCATGTGTTCAACTCCTGTTGTAGTTAAAGTAATTTCTGGTATTAAGATATTTTCTACTAATGTCACTTGCAACTGCAAGGCTCCGTGCACGACAACCAGGAACTTCCGAATGAGGGATTATGATTCTATCCTATATAGGTGCCTCTCCTCTATACAAGAAAGGTTACAGGATCAGAATCTATCAGTTGAGTTAGGAGATATTGAGCTTCGAAATCAGTGACCTGAGAAGGTTGCATATACGACTTCACACAATCATCTAGAGTAACTAAGAGTTGCCGATCCTGAGATTATCTATCAATCTGGTGAAATAGCTTTCTGCGAATTAGTAGGAAGTACTCTGGAAGATATCTATTAGTTGAGCAAGGAGGTATGAAGGTTTGAAGTCAGCTGACCTAGACAGGTTGCGATTATAACTACCTGAGTAAATACAACCTGCAGATGAAACTGATCATTTCATTAATAATGGAGACAATTAGGGCCAACTCAGTTCTACTTGAGAACTAGGCCATAAGTCTAAAGACTCTGACCATGGAATAATTACTAGTATTGGGAACAGTATGATTCCCAGTTAGTTATATTGCAATTACTGAAGAGGGTGTGGTGATTTTCAGGGTCTCTAGGTATTTGTACCTTTGAAGAATACCTAATATTGTGAATTACAATCAGAGAGATACATAGTTGAATAATAAATAGATGAAGTCTGCAAACACTCAGATATAAAATATAAATATCAAAGTGGCTTCTCAGCTTTAGATATCATCAAGTAATAGATAAAAGACCTTAACAATAAAACATTGTTTTTACGATTCTATTTTACTTTTCCAATTATACATTGCTCTTAGTTGTCATAAACGAAACAAGTGAATTCGAGCCTTCCTAGACAATATCCGTCTACAGAAACGAACCTTGGTTAGCCTAAACAACTCTGAGGTCTATCAGGTTGTCTCAGCCTAACATAACTACACAAATCTGCTCATATCTATTATTAGCAAAACTAATCAAACGTATCATGCCATACACTTTGGTAAAACAACTTAAGTATCAAAGTGATACTTACAAAAAAATATAAAATAAAACTAAGGATCATTTAATACTTAAAATAAATCAAGAATCAAAACGATACTTAAAACAAAACATAAAATAAAATCCTTAACTGAGTACCCAGACCAGTTACAATTACTGAATGTAAAGCAAAAACAGAGGATTCTGGGTAAAAGCAGGAATTTTTTATTTTTATTTTTTATATTATGTATTATTTGTTAAAATACAAGAACTTGCATGCAGCCTGAGCTCTAGCATAAAAAAAGACCTCAATCTCAAACAAACAAACAAAGAAACAAACAGCTTCTGTCTTCCAATTGACATTTGTCATCACATCTCAAATGGTGCCCACTCAAGTAAGAAAAAAAAGAACAGCATTATTAGCTAACTGAGAAAAATTATAATCATAAACGTTAAAGCCAGCAAAAAGTATATGGTAGTCTAGGTGTCCAGGTTGGCGGAAGAGGGTAGCCTGAGTACAGGTAAAGTAGAGAGAAAGGCAGTCCTAGTAAAGATTACCTAGCTGGCCAACCCCTTGATGAGGGTGAAAGAGGACTTGAGGGGTGAGTAAGGAATAGCATCAAGTACTTTCAGGAGGTGGAGTATTCTCTGAGTGGTCTTAACAGGGCAGGTTAGTAGTACATAGTGGAGATCCTCATTATCCTCTGCACAGTGTAGGTATAGGGTTAGTTCCCATCTGCATTCCAGAAGTAATGACTGGCAAGGGTACTCTTACTAGAATGGATTTGATGTATTCTGTATGTGGCAAATTTGTCCAAACCCATGACTATAAGAGGCCTGGTTAACACCAGATAGTCGTAGTAGTAGGAAGGCCGTACCTGCTGGCCCCAGTCAGTTGTAAGACAGAGTCTGAGCTTAGCCTTAAGGGAGGTATAGGTTTGGGTAAGGTTCAGGTTTAAGGTTAGGAAGCAAGTCTGGAAGAAGGGAGGAGGTCACAGCTAAGGGCTATAGGCAACTTCCAGACCCGGTCCTGATGCTTGGATTTATAGCAGTGTATGAGTTCCATCTTAGGGACAGAAAAGGCAACTCCAACCTTGGCTGCCTTCTGTGAAAGTAATGAAAAAACATGCTGAAGAACCCTTACATTCTTCTAATATGAATGAGTAGAAACAGTAACAGAAAAATCATCAACATAGGAAAAAATAACCCCTTGAGGTATGGAAATATGCAAGTCTAATACGTAAATCAAAAATAATAATAGAGAAACAGTGGACCCCTAAGGGGTGGTAAAAACTAGAAAACAGTAGTATTATAATAAGTAATAATGTTTAAGAAAGAGAACTTGTATATGAAATAAATATGAAAAATAGAAAAAAATTACAGTAAAAAAAAACAACCTTTATATAAAAAAATAACTATTAAAACACTTAATAATAGTAAGTTGAGAGTTATTTTAATAACAAAGAAAGAATCAAGCAGAGATGAGAAAATTATAAGAAAACTGTTGTGTGGACAAGGTTTTTAAAGTATTTATAGCATCTTAAGTGAACCAGTTTAGTAGGCGAAAGTTACCAGGAGACTACGGAAATAAGATGCTAGAGGCTAGGTACCAGACTGGACTGAAGACAAACACTGGAT